ATATAAATAATATAGAATATATATATATATATATATATATATATATATATATATATATATATATATATATATATATATATATATATTATATATATATATATATATATATATATATATATATATATATATATATATATATATATATATATATATATATATATATATATATATATATATATATATATATATATATATATATATATATATATATATATATATATATATATATATATATATACATATATATACATATATATATATATATATATATATATACACACACACACACACACACACACACACACACACACACACACACACACACACACACACACACACACACTCATATATATTTGTGCGTGCGTGCGTAATAATCAAAATTTCTTGATTTGATCCAAATCAAAACCATTTTCAAAAGATATTATCCATTTCATATAATCCAAAAGATATAATCCATAAACGATATGAAAGATTTTTGTTTCGTAGAAAAAAAGGGCTATCGCCCCCTTAATTAACGCCTTAAATTTCACTAAAATCTCAATAATTTGAGCTGATAGGCAAAATCTAACAGTGAAATCAGAGCACCAAATTCATATAAAATCCGCTGCAAATACCCTGGCACCAAAACAGCTGTAGAATTGAGTTATCATCCTTTATACGATCGGTATTGAATTAAATCTTTAACATAAAATCTCATTACTTCAAGCAGATTTCAAAATTTCAAGATTTTATGATTGTTTTTTTTAATGCAATCATTTTATTTATCAAATAAATTATTTATACTCTAAATTTTATAAATTTAAAAATAAAAAAATGTTTAATTAATGCTTTTGTATTATTAAAAGTAAAAAAAAAGAAAATACACGGCTGTTTAAAAAAGCAACTAACTCTGCCGTTTGTTCACTAATTGCTGCTTGACTGGCTTTTGTTATACACCCCTGTTTTAGCACAACCGAATAGAAACTTAAATACAAATACAACATTTGGAATTAATAAAAAAGTTAACTTACAAAATTTAAAAAAATCATTATTTCTGAATAAATTAATGGGGGGATTAACTTCAATGTTTTAAATGTCATCATTTCCAACTGTAAATTGCTTCAAGTGATTTTTGTTTAAGTTTAACTTTCTTTTTTTTTTTTTATTTTATTTTGTCATCGAGGGTTTCGTAATTTCCTGAAAGAAAAAAAAAGACAAAGATAAAAAAAAGATTTTATTAAAACAATGGCATGACAAAGTTATTCACCTAAACATCAATTTCAAAAAAATACTTAAATTTAAATAAAATAACCTGAAATAAAATTTAAATAAAATAACCTGAAATAAAACTAAAAAATTTATATAGAATATACCTTTTCCGAAGCCATAGAAAAAAAAGATTTACTAAAACAGGCCATAGCATCCATGCAACCATAAACTTGGATGGAATATATTTTTGCCAGAACAAACTGGAATCCTTTCAAACATACAAGTTAATATGATTTTAACGTTTTAATTTGAAAACTCTGATACAAATTTATAAAATATTATATACCTGGATAGCTTTTAGTGAACGCTCAATCGAATCCAATCTGTTAACAACAATAAGCAAATTTGTTTCCATTCTTTCCAAAGCTTGAACGATTTTCAAGCCTAAACTATCATCACTGCTGCAAGAAGTAAAAGAACTCTCACTACTACTGGAATCACTGTGATCAGAACTTGACCTATCTCTAACTGTTTGTGATCTTTGCAATGAAATTTGACCTGTAAGTTTTGACTCTTGACAATTCTGGTTTTTTTTTATAATAAATAAAATGAAAAAGTAAAATATATAAAAATTGTAAAGATAAATAAAAACCTGTTACTATTGGACTTTGATGAGTTGAAATATAATTAACTGCACCATTTGTATTATTTGAATAGGTTGAACAGTTTGGCTTAGAGTTTCCTCTGTGTGTGCGTGAATGTGATTTTACGTGTCTATATCTGCTATTATTATTTTCACAGTTTTGATTTTTATTATTTTTTACTTTCATGGTGTTATTTAAAAAATGACAAGAACTTTCATTGTTTATACATTCAAAATTACTAGATTTTTTTCCCCTAAAAGTTTGATTTGAAATGTCATTTTTTGTACTTGTGATTTTGTCTTTTAAGTTTATCTCATTTTCTTTATGTTCTAACACTGAAATTTTAGTAAGATCAGTCAAATCACCGCCAATTTCTTTCTTAGAACAAACAGCAAGAAGCTGAAAAAAAAAAAAAACTTAAAATATAAATACCTCAATTTGAATTAAATTCTCACTTAATATCCAATTCCAGTTTAAAAACTTGTTCAAACAATGAACGCTTACTTGGTCAGGATCTAATGAGTCACAATATATTTCATCATCACTCTCTACAACTTCTTTGTTAATGTCTGAATAAATAAAAAACTTAACGTAAATTTGAATTTTAGGGAAGATTTTAATATAATTTAGTGTTAGTATATTCTATATTTTTTATGTTCTGTATTTAAAGAAACTTATTATTGAAAGTAGATTTTATCCAACTTGACCTATTCAATTTCATTGGGGACTTTAGACCTAAAATTATAATTGGGCACTAAAGACCTCAAGAAAAAACAGTATTCAAAACAAATACAATTATTGAGTTTCATGAAACCAGAAAATTTTATGATGCAGAGTTAAAATTGACAAAGTATGATCAGTATTATTTTGATATAGTGACAGAGAACAAAATAAAGCAACATTTTGATATGGTGACATGGAGAGTATGGAATAAAGCAATATTTTGATATAGTGACAGGGTTCAGATATTTAACAAACAGAAAATAAAATTAAAAAAGATTTTGACATATTTTCAGAAATTCATCAGTAATTTTTATCAGCACTTAATAAAACCAGAAGTTTAATACGTCTTCCAATAGTTATATTTTATAAAAAGTATTATTAAAAATCACTTTATAAAAATTTTTTTTTTCAGAATTAAAATGACTAAACTATGAAATGGGTAATTCCATGTCAAATGATCATGTCACCATACATCTCAGATTTTGCTGATTTTTGTACAGTTGAAAGTGCTTAGTAAAATGAGAACTTCTTGAAAACTTTAGCCGCTGGCTCAAAAAATATCCTGAAAAATGACCGTTTTACATTTAGCAGATATTGCCTAGTCCCCTCTTGTCCCCTCAGAATTGCAACATCTATTTGGAGGTTTTAAGTCACATAACTTAAAAAAAGTTTGATTTTTTTATTTAACCTTTTAACAGTCTCGTATTTTTTTAAATACGGTAGTTGTTAGTCCAGCTTTCTTTTTCAAAGTGGTCTCTAAATGTCCCGTGTTTTTAAAATCATCCTATTTTTTTACTAATGTAATAAATAAAGTTTTTTTACAATTTTTAACATTCTTAAACACTACAAAACGTCATTATTCAGGTTTAAGAATATATAAATCATACTACATAAACACAAAAATATAAAAATGTATTCACTAATATTCACTTTTTGTATCACAATTGGAAAAGTATGGAGCTACACAAAGAAAACATTCATATATTGAATCTTTTTAAATATTGTGTTTGTAACATACTGCACACCTTCTTTGAATATTAATCTTTTATTATCATTTTCAAAAATCATTCATTAAGTATGTCTTTTCATAATTGATTCATTAAATGTATAATTTTCTATCTTTTACTGAGTAAATATTTACATTTTAGTAATTTTTTTTTGCACTGAAAGAACTTCCTCATTTTTCATATTTAAAATTAAAGTGAACATGTGTAAAAATGAGTTATTAAAACAAAAGCTCATTAATTATGTAGTAATAAACTTTGAGACAAGTAGATGTATAATTACTGATATTACTGATGAACAAGAAAGAGATGAAAAAAACCGTAATATTATGGCATGGACATTTGTGAACCACTTTTAGATTGCATAATACTATGGCATGGGCTGTTAACAGGTTAAAAACTTGTAACTGGCTATTTTCGGAGGTGATGTATCCAATGAAGTGATGATAAGTGTAAAAATTTATTATTAGGTACCTGTAATTATCAATTTAAACAAATTTAAGCAATTTTTTATATACCTGTTTTTAATGCTTATGTGACCTTGATGATATTAAAAAAATATATATTACACATTATTCTATATTTATTGATCTATCAAAAAATATAAAGATTTTGATCTGCAAATATGTGGATTTCCATATATGCGTAACAGGGCACAGTTACGCATATATGGAAATTTTTATGTGTCCCCACTTTTTTGTAGCGGAAAATTGCAATTGATTTTTTGCTACCTTCCAAACTTGCTGAAGCTCTGAAAAATTTTGAATTTCTGTGAATGATGCGCGTTTCAATGAATGCGCATGTTAAAATTGTTTTCAGAGCCCTAAGACATTAGGAGGGGGGGGGGGGGGAGGAATTTTTTTGTAGCCCTACTTTTTTGTAGTGGAATCTTTTGATAGATTTTTCACTACTGGAGCTCTGAAACTTTCAGTATTTGTGTAATCCTGATGAACGTGTGTTAAAATTGTTTTCAGGGTAGACAATCAGAGGCTCCGTTGCCTGGGGCACTGGGGCCATGCCCCACTTATTTTCTCAAAAAAAAAATTTTTAATTAAATTTTTAATATTGTAAAGATAACCTTGAAAATATGGCCTTCCAAATATTTTTTGGTTTGTACTTGTTCCGTTTTATTTATTTACAAAGTAATACAAAAAATTTTAAAGTTTTAAGATTATTTTAAGATTTGCTTAGATGCTTCAAAGTATACATACGTCTAGTTGTTGTTACAGGTACATCAATTATACAAATTATGTTGGTAATAGAAACCCAACACTTATCTGCTCTAAACGCCCAGAAAAATTTTTTAAAAGGACCATGAGCTCAATGTTTTCAATATCATTTATCATACCAATCCAACATATCATTTTTACACAGAATATAATCACTAAATTTTAATGTATAGATTTTAACTAGCTAATTAGATTGAATACTTTGAATACTAGAGAAAGAAAACATGCCTGGTATATCATAATTTCCACTTGTTTGTTTAGAGGTAACAACATCTATAGATTCTAGTTCCAGGATAGTTCCAGGAATTGTTGTACTTTGCTAAAAACATTTTTTCAAAGTGGTATGCAATTCTTTCAGTCTTTCTTTTACTAATCTTAAAAAAACATAATCCCTTTAAATCAATATCTGGTCATTTATGGGCCAGCTGGTCATTGCAGTTAATTGTTTTAAAGTGCCACCAATACCATCACATGGTGACTTACACAGCACATCACTGGCATAGACAAAGATGGCCGCAAGGGAAAACTACAACTTGAAGATTTGCAGACATTTTTGATTGCTATGTCCACCACAGCAGTTTTTTCATTTGATTGAGATTCTTCATCAGCAGTTTGTTCCTAAAAAAAAAGTATAAATATAAAACATCTAACTAGTAAAATTGCTTGTCACTGTCCCAACAAAGGGAGGTTGCCACCTGTCAACAACAACAACAACAAGCCCCTAACATAAATACAATGCAGTAAATGCTTTTTGTTTATAAAAATTGTTATTAATTATCTAACCAGTTCAATGAATTCTTGAACTTCCTGATCACTTTGCATTTTCATATGTTGCAGAGGAATGATGCAGCTTCAAGAAATTTGGTTGGAGTCCATTCATCACTTGCAAGCTTTTCTTCATACCCACAAAGACGCTCATGCTGCCTTTAACAATCTTGACACAGTTCTTCTAGGTTAAGAACCATTTTGGATCTGCAGCATCTCAACTTTCATTGGATAGACAACCTATTTAAAAGCTATATTTTAAAGAAAATTTTTTCAATTGATTGCATTTTATCTGTACTATTTTAATGGTTGGTTAAATAATTACATAGTAGCATGGAACAAAATAAAAATTTTGTTCCATGCTACAAATATAATTTAATAATCCTAACATAAGCAGGTGCCTGTAGGTAATGCACCCTGGTTTTTGGCATTTCTTCTTTTCATCCAGTCATTAAGACATGCAGAACAGGCAGGATCATTGTTCTGAACTCCAGTGAAATATTGAACAGCTGACCACCATGGAAGATGGCAGGAACCACACGAAATGTAACATCAACAAACAGGATAGTGGTTTCTAAAAAAGACAAATTAATACCATTTAAAAATAGCTGGGAAACTAATAAAAAATTATTTTAGGTCAGGTTTTCCCATTTTGATACTGAATTGAATTATAGCTTTAAAATGATTTACCTGACAAATATGTCAGCAGTGTTAAAGAACAAAAGAACAAAGCTAGTTGATCCTCAAACTTTACAAGGCCTTTGTAGATGTTAGAAAATGGATTAGGTTGCAACATGTTTAGAACTGCCTCATTTAGGGTTTGTGCTGTAGCAACTTCTTAGTGCACTTTAAAATTTGTTCAGACATTCTGAAAGTAAGCACAGCCTTGACACCTTCAGTTGAGGACTGGATGACATTGTTGTAGATTTCAAGTAAAGGTAGCTGTGTAGTTGTAGCCATGTCTTGCATTTTCTCAAGAGCTGGAAGGTGATCAAAATTTTGAGGTCTAGTTCCAGAAGTGTGACCATGTATTCTCTTAAGTAAATTAGTTGACAAAATTATTTTTTCACTACCGTCACAAAGTTGATGGTGCTTACACTGGAGACATACAAAACCATTGTTTTCCTTATTTTTGATGTAGCTAAAGTCCCTTACAACATACACAAATATTTTCTGTTTGTCACCTTCAATTTTCTGCATTCCATTTTGCTATTTTAAATTTAAACAAAGCTATATTTATTTACACATGCAACAAATGCATTTTTTATGTTTACATAAAAATTTGTAACAAATAAAATATATTATTTTAAAAAATAATAAAAACCATTTTTTGCAGAATCATGAACATGTTAACCTTTAACACAAAAATCAGTTTGAAAAAATTATGTTGTCTTTCAACTGCAACAACATCACACATGCATTAAAATTACAATAGTGAATAAATTCGATTCTAAAAAAATTCCATGCTAAATTAATCGGCTATGAAAAGTACTTAAGTTTTGAAATTACAAATTTGATTGTAAAAAAATTTGATTCTAAATTAATTGGCTATGAAAAGTAATTCAGTTTTTAGTTTCATTAAACTTCTAATGATATTGGATCATCTCCTTCTATGTTCAATAAATTCGATTCTAGATATTAATTAAATCTTTTTCAATTCTAAACAGTTTTTAGACAATTCAGTTCTAGAACATTTTCACAAACTCGATTCTGGCATTATAGCCATGGAAACAGATGTTATAAGGGTTTTTGCGGTTTTTATACTGCGCAGCACAACCATCTAAAAAATAAAAAATCTTTGAAATATTAGGATGATTATCTTTTAAATAATTAACTATTTGTGCCTAAACTTCAAACTTTACTGTTTTCTGCAAAATCACTTTAAATAATCTTTTAACTAAGACAGTCTTTTACCGACTCTTCTTTGTGTTGCCTTACGTATCTTGCTTGATATTTTGTTGCTTTAGGTATCTTGTTTGACATTTTGTTGTCTTAAGTATCTTGCTTGACATTTTGCAATGTAGGAATGAGCTGTTAATTTGTTTATTGCTTCTGATAACATCAATTTGTATTCTTTAATTGCTGTTCTTTGAAAGATCATTGTTGTTCTGTCTGTTTTCTTTTCAATTTAAAAAGTTTTTTATTATACAATGTAAAATGTTTTAAATCTTCTTGGAGCCAGAGGCTAAAATTTTCAAGGAATTCTTATTTTATTAAGTACTCTCAACTATGTGAAAAAAAGCAAAATCTGAGATATTAGACAATATTTTTAAAAACTTCTGGGTTATTTGACATGGAATTACCCAAATATTATAAACAGTATCAATTATACATAATTAAAGAAAAAAAGCTTAGAGACCATTAAAACTATAAAATTTCTAGATAAACGGATCAAAACAGATGTTCTTTTTTCTCTGTGGAGCAATTTTGGATACTATTTTTAAATAGAACATATAATTTTTATATACAACATATAAGTCAAAATAACCTTTATATAAATCAACTTTTAAAAATAGTCAAAAGCAGTAAATCATTGTAGTAAACAAATGGAATGGAGTTAAAATAAAACTAAAAAATTTAATTAAAACTTTGAATTTAAGCCTTTATTGACTCTTTAACAAATCAAAACTAAAAATAAATATAGTTATGTATAAAGCATTATATATTTATGTAAACAGTTCAACTGAGATTTGGATTTAGTAACTTTCTTGTCAAAAAAACAAAAACAATAATCAAACCTTCTACATCAAAACTATCACGTAACTCATCCTTAACAACATTCTCCTTGGTTTGATTGTCGACAGTATTATCTTTCACATCATTATCAATAATCACTGAAGGTAATTGAGTGTTTTCATGAAAGCTATTTTCATGTACTTTAACACCATTATGATTTCCATTAGTCATTAAAGTGTAACCAGAACTATTTAAACCATTGTTTAGTTTATCTCCAAGTTTTTTATTTTCTTCTTTTTTTAAAATACTTATAAGTTTTGGAGTCATTGTTATGTTTGTGGCTTGACAGAATGGGATCAGAAGATCATAATATTGTTCAGCTTGTTCTTCAAATTCTTTTGTTTCCATGAAACGAGTAGAAATCTCCTTGATTTTATTTATATACTCTTCCATTGCTTTTTCTCGTGGTAAGTTGCCAAGTTGTGACCATGCATTCCATTTTGCATAATTTACTGGTTCCCAAAATCCGGGACGAGGCAAAGTGCAAGGACCAAACTTTGCTTGCTTAAAATAACTGTAAATCTGAAAAAAAAACATAAGTAAAAAAATTTTATAAAATTTATAAATTAATACTTCATAAACTTTTTGACCATTACACAGTAGTATAAAATAGCGTTTTTTGTGCCAAAATTATTTTTAACTTTTTTTATTAAAACTTTTATAAACTAATTATACAAACCATATAAAATGAATATCAAGCTCATATATTTTGCTAAAAAATTTCATCTTTTGGTTTAATTACAATTAAACATTACGAACTAGATATATCTATACTCTAGAACGTAGAATTTTCGCAAATAAAAAGTTCAACAACACCTGGAGGAAATTTATTTTTTACAGATGAAACAGTTTTTCAATAAGATGAAATAACTGGATCAGATGTACATAAAAGTCTGTTCATTACATTTTCGTTTGTCTTTGTTCTTGAATTTTTACGAGAATGATGTTCCCTATATTTTCTAAATTCTTTATTTCTAGCTTCTTGAGCTTCTTTACTAAAAGACCTATTGGTAAGAATAGATTTTCTATTAATTCTGCTCCATGAATTAAGATCTTGTGAAGACTCTGAGGCATGTAATACCAATGGTACAAGCATTAGTAGAGTTTTGCGGTATCCAGACAAAGTAAGCGAAACTTACTAGTATCTATTTGAAATCCACTTGATATACAAATTAGGATTGTATGCAACTTTAAAATAAGTTCCTTGTTTATTCCTGTAATATCAGCAAACAAGTCTTCATTTGAAAAAGCTTTTCGAGCAGTATTGCCGTCATTTGAGTGTCCTAATCCTCCACATTTTGGGTAGTCAACAATAAGTCCCATTTTGTGTTGAAATTCTTTTTGCATTTTCATTTTTTGTTCTTTAACCAGAGATTTCTCTTTGTCTCCCCTTGCTTGACATTTTTTATTGGTATTTTATATGAAATATGAATGAGACACTTAAAAAATCTTATCCATGCATGAAGTATAGATAATCCATATTGAAGCTCATCCAGTGAGTATGGAAGTTTCGTAACTTTGTCGATGTTGTTCATGTCTTTTGGTGAACACCCGCATATACAGCAACATTGACTAGAGCTTGTTACATTTGATAGAGCAGTATGAACTTTGCCATATATCATTGTAACTTGAATGATATGTTTGACTGAAATAGACTTACCATTAGATAACTAAACAAAAGTTTAAACTAAACAAGATTTAAGATTTCGTCTTTCAAAGTAGCTTTTTCAATAAGTTATAAATCAGTTGTTTCTTTTTCAAATTTAAATCTTAAAGGTCGGCAATATAAACTGGAAGAAGGTTTTGGATTTCTCCAAATGACAGTTAGGGTTTCTCTAACATAAGTTATAATCTGAAGTGGAACCAGGCAAGTTAGAAACAATGATTCTTCTCTTTTCAAGTCGCGAAAACTTTCAACAGAAATATTTGTTTATATATGCTTTGACCAGTAGACCCATCAAAACCTGCTTTATAATGAAGAGATACCAGGTCAAACGCTTCTAGCATACATAAAACCTCATTTTGAACTTGACAAAGTCTTTGAGCTGTATGGTCACATAAACTTTGCAGTGGTATACTTGCAGTATAGTCAGTAAAAATCATGTTATAAAAGTAGCACAAAAGTTTCGATGATTTTATATTGTTATATGCAGGATACAGGTTGCATTCTTTTTCAATTGCTGCATTTCTATGGAGTTGAAACGCAGCTTTGGTCATATTTGAATTTAGCATCAACGACAATGCTTCATTTCCAGAAAGTATCGAAAAATATACATTCTTATTTAAATATATTATGTTGATTGCTTTAGCTTTTTCTATTTTTCCTTCTTTATTTAATGAAACTTTTGAAGCAAATAATAGCTCATTTGACGAGTGACTTTTTTGGAGTTTACTAACACGTTGATACTTAGTTCTTGAAGAACATTCTTGAAAGTCAGTAATTGTTGGTCGACAAGCGCTGGAAGTAGACTAAGAACTTGCAGTAGATATGGTTATTTTGCCTCCAGCAAAATCATTTAAATTAATTTCATTATCAAGCCATTTAGTATTGTTCTTAATAAAAAAAGATTCTCTGCGTTTACAGATATTCCAGCGATATTTAAGATGTGCTAAAATGTTCATAAGTGTTGATCTCCGAACAATTTCATTGTTCTGATCAAGGGATAACTCAAAGAATGTTAGCAAATGAATATATGATTTCTCAGTATCTTGAATAGAAACTTCATTATCTTTTAAAGAGTTGAAAATTGAAACAAAATTGAAGTTATTGCATCTTGCGGACAAGTGTCTGTAAAACATTATTAGTGCATACACTATATGTAAAAGCATTAGATATACTGTAAAGGTTATAAAAATATTTTTTTAAAGCAGAAAAGGAAGGAGGGGGGGGGGGGGAAGGAGGGATGGAGGCAAAAAGGCACCATATCAACAAGTATTATATGTATAACTAAAAAAAAATTATTATTGAAACCTTTGGTAAAGAAAATCTTGCATAAATAATTTGCAATTAAAAAGTCATTAAAAATATTTGAGTTTTAAGAACTTATGAAAAACGTGTTTTTGCAATAAATACTATGAATCGAGTATGAATTATTTGTTATAACTTTATTAGTTGCAAAAAGTTGCAAAATATTTATGATACATTGCAGTTAAGATACATTAAGCATTTGATTTACATAATTAAATGTTTGGAGGATATTGGAGGACGGTTTATCTCATACCTAATAGTAAAGGTCAGTAGCAAAAAAAAAAAGCCAAAACTGCTTGACACTGATGCATAAAAACTGATGAATACACTTACGTTTAATTGTTTTGAATAGTCAGTGCGAAAAAAACAAAGATAATTCAAATAATATATTTTAAAATCATACTCAATAAAATTAATTTAAAACAATAGTAGCGTAAAAAAGTTGATAATTAAAAAATGCAAAAAAGCGTTTTGAAACATATGTCAAATTTACGTCTATATAACCGCATAAAACAACGCTTAAATTAATATTTAATGTTTTTTTAACTATATATTTCCTCTAATAAACATATTTTCACCATTATGACATATTTTCAGAATATAATGCCGATAGTGATTTTTTTGTACTTTGGCACACTCTGTCCCACTGTGCATTATGGTAACAACCAAATTCATTCAGCAAAGAGAATTAAAAAATACCAACCAGTTGGTATTTTTTTAATAAAATGGTAATATTTTAATAAAATTTTCAGTTGAAAATTTAATTAAAACACCGATAGATATTAGGGAGAAATGTTTTAACACACCAATACCTGATATATAACTATAGAAAAAGAATGAAATGCCACCAGTCGTAGAACTATCAACAGTTTTAAAGTTATCATTAAGAAATGTTTTTGCACCCTGTGATTATTGTCAAAGAAGCTGGATTAGATATAGACACAATATCAGTAATATACAACTAAACAAAACATAACTCAACTCAACTTAAAACATGAAAAGTAGTATCTTTGTTTTAGACCCGAACTCCTACAGACTCATTACATCAATTGCTTATTTTAAAACTGTCAAGTGAACAAATTTTACAATAACTTGAATGTCATAAACTATGTATAATGACATAATGACCCCTAATGTATGCAAATATGTTAATGTATGCAAATCTCACAGTTTCAATGGCTATATCAGTCAATGTGTGTCTATCAGCATGTATGTACACTTCCTTGTGCATGAATATATAAAAAAGTAGAACCAAAGCAATTTAAAAAAAATCTTTTTATCAATAAATATAAAAGATTAATCATTAAACATGCTACCTTACCTGTGGTTTTTAACAAACAATACTATTCAATCTACTTTCGCATTTAAAATAATGGTTTTAACACTTAAGTGATAATTAAAAGTCAAATTATTTTTAAAGTAGCAAATAACTTTATTAAAAGATATAATCTTAAGTCAACTTCTACTTTCATAAAGCAAAAAATTTTCATAAAGACATGTTTTGATTTTGAAACCTAAATTCTTTAGTTTATCAAGCAAAGCTCCATTAATTTTTACAATTTATAAAAATTTAGAAATTAAAAATGGGACATAAGTTTCTTAATCAACATTTTTCTCAACAAAAAAACCAAAGAACTGTTAACAAAAAATGATTACCTTAGCAGCATCACTATGAGAAGGCTGAAATGAACCTAGATAAAAAAAATTATACATTTTTGTATTTCTATTGTTAGAGATTCCACAACACAATGAAAAATATTTAAAGCTTGACAAAAAGAACATAATTTTTATGAACTTTACTCTCTTATACCTTTTTTTTTATAATTAAACAAGAACCTTGGGGTTTTTGTATCAATTAGTTTGACTCAATCTTTTCTACCACGTATAGAAAGTACTAAGTTTTACATGGCTTTACATATAAAATATTCATGTCTTGAAACCACTATTGATAAAAATACTTGATGTGGGAATGTTTTTTCAAAAGAAATTTTTAAAGGTAAGGATTCCTAAGTAGTCAAACACATCAAATCTGTTTCAAACTTTCCATATAGAATAAAAATGAGATGAGAAATCTAATTGAATGTGAAACCTTTTTAACATTTATACAAAGTTTCTTAGTTCTCAGCTATTTGTTTTTTAGTACTTGTTTTTTTTGAAAAAAACAAGTAGCCTTTCTTTTATTTATTTATGCCGAGTAATTATTTATGTTTTTTTGTTTAAATGGTTCTTAGAATTTTTGTGTAGAAATTATGTATAATACTTTTTTTCTTTGCATATTGTTTGTTTTAATTTTTGCAATTTTTTTTTTGTGTTTTTTTTTTTTGGTCCCATAAAATAGCTAGTTTTAAATACAAAAATACAAAGCGTTTTACAACTAACTGAATTATTTAATTACATAATGTTAAATACGGCAATTAACAGATTTTAAAACAGTTTTTAAACTTCACACACACACACACACACACACACACACACACACACACACACACACACACACACACACACACACACACACACACACACACACACACACACACACACACACACACACACACACACACGCACACACACACGCACACATACACACACGCACGCACGCACACACACACGCACACACACACACAAACACATACACACACACACACACAAACACACACAAACACACACACACACACACACACACAAAATTTATTATTCAAACAGGTTACTATTCAAAATTATAACTTACCTTTTTGAGGAAGAGACTTGACAAGCTCAACAGCCAAATTAAAGGTGCATTCTATTTTATTTTCTGATTCAGCAATTATATCCTTCATATTAACGAAATGAATATTAGTTTAGCTATTTTACTTTTATCTTATGGTTGCCATTGTTATGATTTATGTTATGGAGCGCCATCTCAATATAAAAATCGCTAATTATTAGATTTAAACCCAGCCGTATAATTTTCGCGATGGTTTGCAAAATTTCTTGTTCCCAAGTTATTTTTTTTCCTTACAGATCGTCCAAAAACTACGACATGCAATTTTTGAGAGTTTTTGAACCCTAACATTGTAACAAATATCGCATCAACAGAAGCAAAAAAATAGGGTAGAAATAATGTTCCGTAAAAAAATTTTGTAGGAAAAGTTACGAAAACTTACAGTTTTACATGCATTTTTTAACAGAGTTGTTAGTCCTTGGCCTTGACCCTGTCTTATGGCCAAAAATTGAGGCCTTGGTCTTGGCCTTGAAACTATTGGCCTTGGCCTTGATTGTTTTGGCCCTGGCCTTACAAAAAAATACATATTTTCTTATTAATTCCGTTGAATTCTACGCATAACTTTGGTCTATTTTTACAAAATGTGGTTTTATTGTTACAGCACTTGCTACTTACAGTTTTGTTAATAATTGACCTTAACGTAAGTTAAAAATACCATTGCAACTCTTAATCTTCGTCTTGACCTGGCCTTGGCCTTGGCCTTGTAACGTGTGGCCTTGGCTTTGGTCTTGGCCTTGCTGTTTTTGGCCTTGTTAAAAACTCTGCTTTCTATTTCTTCAATCAACTATTCACCTGTTAGTAAAATTACTGTGTTCATCAAACTTTCATCTGCATAAATAGCATCTCCAGCTAATTTAAATAGAAAAAAAAAACTGCCAAATATTTCTGTCTAATTTTGAAGCTCTTTAAAGGGGTATTTGACTTTGTTGGAATAGGCCAATTTCTCTTGATCTTTCAAAGTTCCTGCTTTCGCAAAACAATAAACGATAGTGGAGATTTAACTTTTTTCTATGCAAGATTAACCTTTTCATTGCTTCCAAAATTGAACAAAACAAGAAGATCTATTCTTTTATTGATTGCTACCACCAGTCTTTGCATTGCCGAAATTCTGAAATAAATTCTGAAATTGATTGAAGTTTAGATATGGTATTCGGTTGGAAAAAATAGAGCTCAATAAATTTTTGTATAATCAAACGTCGGATGTGCTGGGAAGTTATAAATGCAACTTTCTTCTACTCTATTTTAAAAGCCTCGCAAGAGTTGCATCACCAGACACCGTTTTGAAAGAAACTTTATACCTGTTTTTTCAACAATCAAGTCCACTACAAGAAGGTTGAAATCCTTTTGATATTAATCTTTTTAGAAAGTTTTGTTTTTAGAAGAGATATTGATTGGGCTACGTTTCTTCTCCTTACATTTAAAAACCATTTAAATAAAAGATAATTTAAATTTGCAAATTTTCTTCTTTAATTCTCACACTTTTTGACTTGTTGCCTTTATATTGTAAAATATAAACACAATAACTTTTATTATAATATTCCAGTGCAAGTAAAACTTAGAAGTTACAATTACTATATACAACACTACTAAGAAAATTGAACATTCAAACGTTGTTTATGGTCAAGTTTATCATCGCAATCTATTCACTTAAGGACAAAAAGTTTTACTTTATAAAAGAAAAGTAATAAATTTTAAAAATTTGTTTTCATTTTTCTTATAAAGTTCAAGTTATCGAAAGAATATTAGCCAAAAGGATTTTGCATGCTCTTTTAAAAGAAACTATAGAGCTTCTATAAGAGAAATCTGGGACATTTCTAATACCTGTCTGCCTAAATTAAATGTTTTAAATGCAACATTAAAGTTTTCATCATACTATTTTTTTTTTTTTTTAAGCAAAGAGTTTTTCCATATATTAAAATTTACAATGAAATAAATCGTGTTAATAAATGAGAGAACTGGAGCAAGCAGAAAACATAAACTGTCTTATCATCAAGCCCCATCATGAAATTTACATTAAAAAATCGTCAGTTAATATAAAAAATGAAGAGTAGCTAAGTACATAACAAGAATTTTAAATACGTTAGTTACAATATAACTAATAACATAATATAAATATTAGTGTTGAAATATAACGCATTATATCAAAGATTAACAATAATTTAAAAGTATTAAAGTTTTCCAACAAAAAATTAAATTAGATTAAAATTGCAGCAAAAGAGAAGTAGTGTCAATAACTATATTTTTAGATAATTTATACTATTTGTGTATTATTTTTAAAAGAGATATTTTAAATCAAAGTCTTTTTGTAATAAGAGATTCTTAGATTCTTTTCTGAATTTTTCCAAAGAGATGTGTTGAACATTATTATTTTTGTAATAAATTTGGAAAAATGTTTCCATAGAAACGGTCCGCGGTATTGGATTTTGCAAGAATTTAGTTTTGAATTAGTTTTGGAACAATAAAATTATTAATTGAAAATTTAGTAGGATACTTGTGCGAGATTTCACTAAAGTAAGACTGAAATTGGAGAGAGTTAATGTTTAGCTTTAAACATGAATTGTAGAACTTGGTGTATATTAAGTTTATAGACACATAGGGTACCGAGCTTCCTAAAAAGAGGTTCACATTGAAAAGTTCTGTGGTCACCAAATATAATCCTGCATGCATGTTTTTGCTTACTATGAAGTTTTTTCAACTTACCATAGTTAGTACTACCCCTTACAATATTGCCGTAAGAGATAAAACTATGAATAAATGAAAAGTATATTTTTTTTAAAGAAGAGGTGTTAAGATATGGTTTAGTTTTATATAATATATAAATATTTCTTAATATTTGATTTTCTATATATTTTATATGTGGTTTCCATGACAAATTTTCATCTATTATTACTCCTAGAAAATTAACGATTGGTTCCCTTTTAATAAATGCTTTTTTGGTTAGGAGATTGGGTAACTTTAGAGGAACATCATCACCTTTACTAGGTTTGGAAAATAAAATAAATTTAGTTTTTCTAGATTTAACGAAAGCCTATTGCTTGTAAACCAATCGTTTATTTTGAATAGTTCTTCATTAAATATATTAAAGAGAGCTTTTATATCTTTGTTGGAATAAAAAAGATTTAATATTGGAATATAAAATATTTAATTTTGGCATTTTCAAGTAGTTATTCTGGAATGTAAACGTTATTAAAGATATATTTACAATGGCTTCCATAAAATTTTTCTTTATGAATTGGCGGCCTATAGAAGCTAATTTTGTTTGACCTATAAAAAGACTTCTTTTTTTTTTTAAAGAAAAAGAGTCGTATTTGTGATGGACGTCTATTTAATAATCAAGTATTCTCTTTATAATTCTAAAAACCAAATGCACATCCGCGACTTGCGAAATATTAAGAACAAAATAACAAAATATATTCGTTTTATTATGATGATCTAGCAAATGGAAGTTTACACAACTTTTATAACCTGTCTAATTTGGGTAAAAAGTGTTTGCTTCGTGAGTCTTTTATAAAGAAAACCCTAGAGTAGGTTGAAATGTTCTTGATTTTTTTAATTTATATTCTCAGATATTTTCAGAGTTAAAATTAAGTCACTCTATCCTAATATTAATAGTGCAAGTTCTGCTGCATGGGGATTTTCAACAGTATTGAGATTTAAATATGTTATTTAACAACTAATTGCGTAATAACATTACTGACATTAGCTATGTCACGAGGTAGTATAAAGTCTTTATTGCTACCAAACGTCTTAAACTGCAAAGTTATAAACACGACTATCTATGAAAGGCAGTGAAACATTAATTCCAGAAGTTTAGAACACTTTAAAAATATATTTCGCAAACTTCACACATTCCAAGTTCTACAATATACGCAAAATAAAACTACCGTTTAAGTATTCGATTTAAAATGAAATTTAAAACGAATATGCAAACACGTTTAATTTAGGAAATTTTTTCAATGAAGTTTTTCTATTCCTATCCATTCCATGTTAAAGTAGTAAAATGAGTTTAAGTCTTTGACTACGGCATGATCGTGGTTTCTCCGTTCTTTTCATATATTATTTATATATACTTTAGGGATCGTCCATAAAGTATGTACGCTCAGATGGGGAAGAAGGGTTCTGCAAATGGTATATATGAGATTGGGGGCAGGCAGTCAATTATAAAAGTAAGGAGACGCTAAACTAAAATAAACATCATAAAATGTTAGTAAGGAGATTAAAAAAGTAGGTACCTTTAGGAAATTGGAGGGTATTCAAAAAAATGTACAACAAAATGCGGGGAGGGGGTGGCGTACGTACTTTTTGCGAAAACGAGTGATCGTTTTTATTTTTTAGTTGAATTTTCCTAAAAATCTTTTTTAATTTGTTTGTTCTTTTTTAAAATGTTTAACAATATTTGCCGTTTTACAATTATAATAATTTCAATAATATAGTAAAATATTTACAAGATTGATTAAGTTTGTTAGAGGAAGAACGCGGAATTCGTTGAAGACCTTAAGGTCTTGTCGTCGAGAACCGCTTTGTTTTTCGACTACATCGTTATGTTAATTGTGTTATAAAATGTTATCGATATATAAAATTATCTGTTTTTCTTTTGACTATGTTGTAATTCCACATTTAATACGCTACCCAGGAAATGACCCAGGGAAAACTACCCAGGAAAAAAAGTTCTATAAAATCTTCTATAAACTTTTGAAACATATGGCCTATAGAACCTCTATAGAATTTTTATAGAATGTCTATTAATTTCTATAGATATTCCTATAAAACTTTTTTTTAATTTAAAAAAAAGTAGAAAAAAAAAATTCAATAGGAATTTTTATAGAAGTTAACAGAAACTCCATAGAAATTCTATAGAATTTCTATAGGCCATATGTTTCAAAAGTTTATATAAAATTCTATAGAACTTTTTTTCCTGGGTAAGCAAAGAGCAAATTAAACATTAAGCTAATATACATTAAGAATATTCTCTTTAAGTAAAAGAGGTCTTGCATGAGCAAAATATTTACCGCGCAGTAGTCAAAGGGTTAAGAGCTCAAATAAATTAACAAACAAACAAACAAACGTTAACCAATTTTTTTTTTATTGCAGTAATAATTTTATTGCTGTAGTTAAAATTTTACTTTCTTACACCGAAGCACAAAACAGAAC